GATTACTGTCAGCATTTTCTCGGCATCTACTGACTCACGAAGACAAGGGTAGTAAACTGAGCAACAAGAAAATGACGCACCAAGACCCCGAAAAGCGGACCACTTCTTTATTCAGAACACTTGACTACTGAAAACTTTCTTCCACTAGGACCAAAATATGCGGTAAATTCCGGAACTTAATGAGGTAAATCAGTCGACGAAGTATGAATCAGAGTCTGACTTCAGCGGGAGTCGTAAGACTTGGCGCGACCTCGCAAAACCTGAACGCTCATTTCAGTTTCCTGCGCACATTTCGTTGCAAATAAAGGACTGTGTGAACATTATAATTTCTGGGGAAAAAATGAGCAAACTTGAGCGGGTGTATGTTCTTCGAGTTCCGCTCGACCCTCACCCCCGAAAACTGCCTACTTTTAGGCGACAATGTTGCACGGGATAAGTGAAACTGATGAGTTTTCCGAACCAGCGGTCAGGGGAACAGCATGCCTACGATCATTTTATTAAGACAGTGAGCATAAGTTCAAAGGCAAGCGGAATGATTTTGAGCGGCCGCGAGGAAGTTGGGCCAGGGAGTGAACGATGTCCACTCCGAGCCAATCAACGAAGTCCAAGCTGTTTTGGCAGACTTGAGTAACTCATTCAACCCAGGTGTGAAAAACCCAGCTGCCTCGGTGGGATTCAAACCCAAGAAAGCAAGGACAAGGCCCGAGTACAACCAACGCTCTAACAGCCTGAGCTACGAGGCCCTACCGGCAGCCGTGAGTTTAATCACATTTGGGTCAAATTATCCGCCCAGCGTACTGCAGAGGATGGAATCCACCAATTCCGATGCAGCATATCGACTTCCCAGAGCAGGATTTCGTAAGCAATCGATCTAGAATCCACCAGGCCTCGTAGCTTAGGTGGTTAGGAGGTTGACTGTACGCGAGCCTTGTCCTTGCTGTCGTGGGTTCGAATCCCACCGAGATCGCCGAGTTTTTTTCACAACTGGGTCAAATGAAGTCCAAGATGTCAATCGACATCGCGTCCCCCAATCCAGCGCGCAGGAGGGGAGTCACCAACAGTGACGACCACAGCGACAATCTACTTCACAGAAGACGAAGATGTGATCACTGGAACAAGAAATTAAGTGGCTTGACGTTTCAGATTCACACTCGAACCCATCATCAGAGACTGTCGCAGACAAGGATAATGGTGGCACAAGGAGTGCAGTATATGTAGCAAATGGCTGCCGTGGGACCATATGCGCACTGTAATTAACAGCCCTCGTGATTTCCGCTGGGGGGTCGTAATTGATGCGATGGTGGCCTGTCAGTCCGCGTCCGAGTCGTTAATGGCCGTGATTTCGTCATCCGTGCTGGATAGTGGTGTGACGATGACTCCGCAAATTGACTCACTGTCACT